TGGTCACATGCTGGCGGCCGCGCCGATGACGCAACCTTCCCCCCCCGCCCAGCCCTGGCATCAACACAAATGACAAAACTGGTTGATCGTCATATTAGTGTTTCGTGGTCACATGTTTGCGCAGGTGAAAATGACGCAACATCCACCCCCACCTGCCCTCCACCCGGGCGAAGCATCAAGTTGATCGCAAAGCAATTTGACAAGTGTGTGATCCCTATGACAAGTAACAACAATGGTGGATAATCATGTGTGTTTCGGGATCAGATTCGCGGGCACATGAACATGACGCAAACATGCCCCCCCCTCACCCCCCCAAGCATCAAGTCGATCGCAAATCAAACCGACAATTCTGTGATCCATGCGAGGACAGAGAAGGAATCATCGAGATTTGTGTGATTTTAGTGGTCGGTTACCCCTCCGTAAGCACAAACAAGGGCAAGCAAAGGCTCCCTCTCAACATGGAATCTGAAGCCCTTTCGACGGTCGGACCATTTTACCTTTGAAAGGGACTTTCTGTTGTTTTTGTTTTTAACCTAGCGGGCAGGGAAAAGTAAGTGAAACCTTGGAAGCGCTGCACGTCTCTAACAGCATTTAGTTTCGTGCGTGCAATCAATTTGCCCTGGGTTCTGGCAAATGCTGTGGAGTCAAGGCTGGCACTGCACAGGAGGCCACTTCAAACATGTGGGTGTGTCTTTTTTTGGGGGTCCCCCCAAGCTGGCAGGGTACCTCAACCAAAATGGCACACCCATATGGAAGCCATTCTGGTTTGATGCTTTCGGTTTCGCTGGCCTGTGCTCGGTGTGCGCCGTCCATGCTGCAAGTTTCTGCGAAGTCGGGTGGTGTGGATGGATGGAGCATTGCCGCCTCGTCATATGTTGAAGTCTCGGCAAAAACCACGGGAAGATACGCCCAGAAGGCTGCCGCGCCGTATGAGGTTGTGGGTTGAAACCACGCCACAAGAAACCCGTGAGGGGGGAGTCATGTGCTGTTGAGAGTTTAGCTCATGTCGTGTCCTTTCACGTGTAGCGCTCATGCAGCCAAGATATGGAGCGACCGACTGGGAAAGCCTCCGAGGTTTTGTGGTCACTAGCCGAGACCATCGCGTGAAGAAGCTTCTCACGATCTACTGGGAGATTGTGGAGAAGACCAAGGCATGGCGCGCGACACCCACATCTAGGCACCCCTTTAGGGGGGCTTTTTGGGCCGTAGGTGCGGAAAAATACCAATTTTGGTAGAGTCAGGGGTTTTTGGCGCTGCTCAAATGGTCTGGCATAGTCAAAATGCTGGTTTTGTTCCGTTTCTGTTCTTCAGGATCTTGAGCTTCCCAGCGGGCGACAGCAAAACCTGCGCTGCACACGGGCATTGTCCCCGGCCCCGCTGAACACGCTGGTCCCATCTCTGACTTGACCCATACTCAATTAAGCTTTTGTGTTGCTCCAGGATCTGTTCTCACCTGTCCCACAAAAACCAGACCCCACAGCTCTCCTCATGAAGCCGTGGCCATCTTGACCATCACGTCTTCTCGGCGCGGCCTTTGGAGGGTACCCTTTCTGGGCATTGGCTTCCTTCAAACCGCAAGGACCCCGCCCCTTCGGCCTCCCGATGCTTCGGACTTGGCGGACCCGCTTCGAACTTCGATGCGAGGACAACGGGGACCTGAAAGAGGAGATGATCCTCGTGTGCAACGCCCTGCGCAATGACCTGATGCACGCCAACGAGCACTCCGGAATGAAAGAGTCCCTTCTTCTCCCTGGGGGCCGATTTAAAACCGTGCGACTGAGGGGACTTGGGTTTGGGTGGGCATGTAAAGTAAGAGGCCCACTTAAAAGTGAGTTACCTTTGGGTTTGGGGTGATGCTTGAAGTGGACATGCAAAGGTTTGTCAGCCTGGGTGCCGAGTGTTGAAATGTCCAAACAGGGGCACAAACTGTGAAGAGGTGTTGCTTGGGCTGCCGGCAGGTGAGAATCTCTGCAGTTTGAAGACATGATTAGGTGAATCGTAGCATCCCCAACAACGGGACAGTTCACAGAGCCAACATGAGACCATTTGGGTCGTTCCTCCGAAAGATGACCATTTTGGTTGGTACGTGAATTCACCACCCATTTTAGAACCTATTTTAGTGGGGATTGAATCGGATGTTCACTGGGGGTACGATTGGGATTTTGACCCCTGGCCACATGCCGCCTGAGGTATGTGTGCGGCTCAACCTTGCGGCAGCGCCCTTGGTGACGGGGGCTGGGGGGATGGCAGCCTTTCGTCGGTCGAAGCCCATTTCAAAAGGACACCAACAGGGAATAGGCTTTTTTTCCGTCACAGCTGCAAGCTGTCAAGCAACCCCGAAGTCACCAATTAGAGGAAAGCTGAACTTGCAAGCGGCTCGTCCCTACGAAAGCCTCCCATTGCTTTGGTCTGAGGTCTGAGGTGAGGTCACCTTCTTGGCGATCGGAAGATCCGGGCACGGTCCCCTCATTTCACGTTGCATCAAACAGCTTCAGATCATGTTTGCACGTGAACATGACACGGACCGTGCGACTTCGGTCAAGCCTCAGCCTTTGACCCAACCTCCAAGCAAGCCTTGGTCGCGGAACGGACCTCAACTAACGAGGCTGAAACCTAAATTGAAGCTCAAACGCAAACCTACCCTGAACCGATCCAACCTAAACCAACCCCGAATCAGCACACAGCCCACCCTACATTATCCTGAAGCCACTCTAAACTAGCCATGAAACGACCTTGAACTGGACCAAGGCGGCCCTTAGTGTTCTGTTGGATCCCAGTGCACCTTGCCGACGAATTCCTGTCAAAAGTAGGAGAGTCTCGCTTTCGAAACTTCTCCCAAGGGTACTGGTTTTGCATCCCCAGATGTCCGCAAGGTTATTGTGCAAGATGAAGTACTACAGGACCGATGACACGTCACAGGGGGGGAGGACATGGAGGCCCCGAAGCAAAAAACATGTTCCCAAGCAGCCTGGCCGTTTAGCGAGGTTGCCGGGGGCACGGGAGGGGCATGAATGAGCCCACAGGGATTTCTGATTTCCAGCCTGTGAACTTGACACTTTGTTCAGAATCAAGTAATTTTGTGCCAGGTTTGTTATCCGATACTTGGGAATCATGGAGCAGCAAAAGAAAGGAAGGAGGGAACGACAACAGGCATACGCCATGAGTTTGAAATGATTGAATATATTGTGGCAGGTGGTCGGTATCCGCCCCTTTGTTAAATCTGCCGCAGCTGCTGCTGCCGCCGCTGCTGCTGCCGCCGCTGCTGCTGCTGCGGGGATGATGATGATGATGATGATGATGATGATGATGATGATGATGAGGAGGAGGAGGAGGAGGACGACGACGACGACGATGACGACGACGATGATGATGATGATGATGATGATGATGATTGCGATGGCGATGGCGATGGCGATGGTGATGGTGATGGGGATGGTGATGGTGGTGATGGTGATGGGGAAGGTGATGGCGATGGTGATGGTGATGGGGATGGTGATGGTGATGGGTATGGTGGTGATGATGACGATGGTGGTGGTGATGATGATGATGATGATGATGAGGAGGAGGAGGAGGAGGATATTGATGCTTGTGTCAGTGGTTTGTCGTGACCCCATTGTAAGATCATTTAGAAGTCTTTCTGGTTTCGAAAAAGCAGTGGGGGGTGCAAACACCTCAGGCTTGAGACTGGCTCTGGCCGAGGAATGAACACGCTAGGGCCGGCCTCTCCTGGTCCTCACTAAACGCATGCATCGCTTCGGAGTGTTGCTCAGGGGCGCTGCAGCGCTTGCTCTGCTCATTGTTTTGGTATCAGGGACAATTTTTTGGGGCTTCCCAAGAGGTGCTGGGCTCATCGTTTTGGTATGGACAATTGTGGGGGGCTTCCCACCAGTTGCCAGCAACCAAGCAAGGGACTGGCAGTGATAAAGGTTGACAAGCACTTTTTGCTGGTCTACAACAGACACTCTGAGAAAGGTCTCAGGGTGAAGATGAATTTGCTGGACGCATTTTGCAGGTCTTTTCAGGAGGCTTGCCATAGCTTAGTGCTCGTTCTCGCGAGGATCCTCGAGCCTCTGAAGGAGGCGGTGCTCAGGAATCTGGGCCATAGGCTGGGGCGTGGGACAGGCGATTCCCATGGAAGTGCACATTGCCCAATTGGAGGACGACCACTGTTTTAGCGGAAGTGGGCGTTTTGGGATTTCAAAAGGCAGGTGGTCTTGCAAAGCTCTGTCAGCTTTCATGATTCCTTTTGAAAGGATTCCCTTGGGCACCAACCCATGTTTGCTGAGGTTCTGGCCATCCCATTCTCCCGAGTGACTGGTTTTTCCGCTGGCCTGGGGAGTCTGAAACTGGGGACGCCAACACGAGGGTCCCTTGCAAACATCATTTGGACCACCCCTCCCGTGAATTGCCCAGTCAGCGTTCTGTTGCCGTGCTCTAAAAAGAGCTGACTTGAGTCGTCACGGATGTTGACACATGCTCATTTGTTGAGAGATTGCAGTCTCGTGAATGAATCTTCCCAACTTGGGGTCCCAAAGTGAGCGGCTTCCAGAAAGGAGAGCAAACCCACAGAGAGTCAGGTATTGGCCAAGGTTTGCCTTCAAGGCACTCTTGCTTTTTCGTTTTGGGGGAGACGAACTGCCAGGCATTCCTACGTCCGCCGAAACGCTGTGATGTGCGTCTTCTCCATCGTCAAGAGCTTTGGCGTGGAGGTTTTGCCTGAGGCGTCGCTCGCGGCGCACGGCGCAACCGGGTTTCGACTTTTTGGCCAGCCAAATCAGTTGACAAACTTTATCTATCGCATTTGTTTGATTTGATAGTGTTCTAAGACCACTTTTGCCAGGTGCGCAATGCTCCGTCACCTCACGGTCACCTCACCAGCCCAAGCCCTCAAAACATCAATTTGGGGCTCTTGCCCCCCGTGTCCCACCCAAATTCATTTCCGCGTTCGCCAAGGTGCTTGCCTGATTCCCGGAAGACACAGGGCTTTGGAGAGATCAGGATGAACTTTGCCAGGATCGATTCCTTTGAAAGATAGCAGTTTCCTTTCGTTTCAATAGTTAAACAGGCAAAAACACCCTTTTGGATGAATCCGCAGGATTGGCATCATCACGGTCCCCCTTCCCAATGCGCGCATGTGGCAACTTGTGCAAGAAGTAAAGCCCAAGGCCTCGGCGTTCTCACCACGAAGCGCGGAACCAAAAAACGAGTTTATTATTATTACTATTATTATTATGATTATAATAATAATGATTATTATTATTATGTATTATTATTATTGTAATTATAATTATTATTATTATTACTATTACTATTACTATTACTATTATTATTATTATTATTAATATTACTATTATTATTATTATTATTATTATTATTATTATTATTATTATTATAATACTAAATGAGTTGGGTCTCCGCAAGCCCCCAGGTATGAGAAAATTGGCATGTTTTCCTGGCCTGCAAAAGCAAACACTTTGTGGCAGCGGCCATGACGCAAGTTGTCAAGCCCACCTCCACCAACCATACAACCGTTTTGGATTTGTCCCACCTTTGATAGTTGCTTTCCCTTTGGTTCTGATTTTAAGCCCCCCCCAGCTTGGGCTCAACACAAAAAATCGGAGGCTTCAAGCGCCAAGCATCCCTCAGGCCCCGGAGGATATCGAGCAGCTGCTGCTCGTGGAGGGGGACTTGTCCACCAAGCGCCCGAGGTCTTGGCCCGCGCGCGAGACACTGGCTAACTAGGCGCACCCTGAAATCATTTCGAGGGAAGCCAGGAAACCGCCATTTTGGGGGGGTATGGCACATAGGTAGAACCCGGAAATGCGGAAACGCGAGGTCTTGGTCTTAGAATAGGAATATGGACCGGGATTTTGGGGTTCCTTTGAGTTTAGTCTTTAACCACAATCCCAAGGGCGTCTTTGAACACCAGGTCGGGAAACGACACATCCTCTCTGGCTGTTGCTCAGAGGAAATATTTGTCGCAAAGTTGAGCAAGGAAGTCTTGGGGAGTTGAGGCGGGAAAGAGACGGAGTGGAGGAAGACATACGCAGTTCTAGCGCGTCCTCCACCACATGAGGCCAACACCTGCGGATTGTGAGCGAAGTTGAGGGCATGCGCGTGCTCGCCATCTAAACCGCTCACCTCCCGTGTCTTTTTTTGGTTCGCCCTCTTTAAGATTTTTCCATTCTTGCCACTTTACCCTGATTCCACTGTGCTGCGACCCTTCCCGGTCATTTCCAGCAAGGTCCGCGTGAGAAGCACGTGATTCTTGATTCACACTCACAGCAGGCCCCTAATCAATGCAGGGAGTCGCTGGATTTCTGGAGACGCTGATTTGTGAGCGTGCTGAGGCAACGCTTTCCTCATGCTCGTGAACTGCGACCAGGACGCCACACCCTGTGCCAAATGAGTATGTGTCCAAAGGGCTGATTGAATTTCAGTGTCCACTAAGCTCGAAAGGGTATCCCGAAAAACGACACCCCCAAAAACGGGGACTTCGCCGAATGGGGCTCTAAAGTAAGCCAACTCTGGGAACCAGACATTTCGAGGGCCAAGGCACCTTGCCATTTGGATACCTCAGTTTGTTCCGTCGAGGTTGTGTGCACTTTGCAAGCTCACATTTTTTCAGGGGAACAGTCTCCACATCTCAAAAAAAAGCCAGAGAGAGAGAGAGAGAGAAGAGAGCGAGAGAGAAACGAGAGAAAGCGAGAGAGAGAGAGAGAGAGAGAGAACCATCCGGGCTGGGCTGTATTCCCGGCACCTGTGATCGTGCAAGTTCGCACGAGAAAGCCACTGTCTTTGGAAGCGACTCGATTCGCCACTCTCCAAAGGCACTGGCAGGGGTGCCGAACTGAAGCATCCCATTGCCTGCGCAAACATGTGGCTGTGGGTCAAAAGCATGTACCAAAATGACACCTTGGCAAATGGAACCAACGACAATCCTGCGCAACCCCCAGTTGTTTCATTTTGAGCCACACCCATGTTATTGGTTCAGATGGGACCCCCCAAATCAGCCGACCTCCTTTAAACCTCTATGTATCTTTGCTGTCAGTTGCCTTCAGGAGAGAGCCATCAAGTATGTGCTGAGCTTGCAAGACCAGGCGCGGCAGCCCAAAATGGTGGTACCGAGGCAGCTCAGGTGTCACGTCCAGAGATTCGGACAGCAGACACCGGGTTCTGTTTGGGCCGCTCCGATGGTCACCACTTGCTGGGGGTGTAGGTCCACTCATTTTGAGAGCGTTCCCCAGGGGCGCAATTGAAATTCTGGTGGACCTGAGGGGTGCTTTCCGAAGGGACGGGCGGGTGCGAATCACAAAAGGCAACAGGAGCCTTTCCCTTCCTTTGAACTTCCCCCTTTTTCATTGAAGCACATGTGAGCCCTTGATGTTCTTGCCTGGGGTGTCTCATGGCGCAAATGGCTTCTACGAACCGCGACCAGCAAGCTCCGCACAGGGGCAAGGCCTTTAGGGCTTATCCTTTTCAGCCCAAACGCCCGACCGAGCAGGTGAGTTCCATGGGGGACATTTTCCAGCTGGCGGTTTTGGAGCTGGTGCGGAAGGCGCCGGGCACCGACTGTGAGAGGCAGAAGCTTCTCGAATCTGTGGCTGGAGACCCCCCCCGGCCTCCCTTCTCCTCGATTTTTGCAAGAAGTGGGCGCGGGGCATCCTGAGAGTGAGGCAACGGGGATTTCACTTTGGGATTCATATTGCCTCACGAAGCTTGATTGACGGCGGTTTGGGCCAAATTCTTTAGTTTTAACGAGAACCACGCGCAATCAGAGACGCCTTTCGACATCAGCCCTCGTTGGGGGGATGTCTGGCTGATTCTTGTGGCAGGTTGGTTGGTTGGTGGGAGGGTGGGTGGGTGGGTGGGTGGGTGGGTGTGGGTGGGTGTGGGTGGGAGGGCGGGTTTCTTGCTTGCTTGCTTGCTTGCTTGCCTGCTTGCTTGTTTGCTGGGTGGGTTGGTGGGTTGGTTGGTGGGTTGGTGGGTTGGTGGGTTGGTGGGTTGGTGGGTTGGTGGGTTGGTGGGTTGGTGGGTTGGTGGGTTGGTGGGTTGGTGGGTTGGAGGGTTGGTGGGTTGGTGGGTTGGTGGGTTGGTGAGTTGGTGGGCTGGTGGGCTGGTGGGCTGGTGGGCTGGTGGGCTGGTGGGCTGGTGGGCTGGTGGGCTGGTGGGCTGGTGGGCGGGCTGGTGGGCTGGGCTGGTGGTGGTTGCGTGGGTTGGGTGTTGGTGGGTTGGTGGGTTGGTGGGTTGGTGGGTTGGTGGGTTGGTGGGTTGGTGGGTTGGTGGGTTGGTGGGTGGTGGGTTGGTGGTTGGTGGGTTGGTGGGTTGGTGGGTTGGTGGGTTGGTTGGGTTTGGTGGGTTGGTGGGTTGGTGGGTTGGTGGGTTGGTGGGTTGGTGGGTTGGTGGTGGTGGGTTGGTGGGTGGTGGTGGGTTGGTGGGTTGGTGGGTTGGTGGGTGGTGGTGGGTTGGGTTGGTGGGTTGGTGGGTTGGTGGGTTGGTGTGGTTGGTGGTGGTTGGTTGGTTGCTTGGTTGTTGGTTGGTTGGTTGGTTGGTTGGTTGGTTGGTGGTTGGTTGGTTGGTTGGTTGGTGGTTGGTTGGTTGGTGGTTGGTGGTTGGTTGGTTGGTTGGTTGGTTGGTTGTTGGTTGGTTGCTTGGTTGGTTGGTTGGTTGGTTGGTTGGTTGGTTGGTTGGTTGGTTGGGTGGTTGTGCGAAAGTACACCATGCATTCCCACTTGGATGTAATTCATACTGATTACCATTGCATGGCTCAAGATGACAAAGGTGCATTTGCTGCCTTGGTTGATTAGCAGAGATTAGTCTCTGATTTTCCCATGGTAGCGGAGCTCGAAGATTCAGGAGACCTTAGGGAAACCTGATTCTGAGAGCTGCCATGGCACTCGGACAAGATGAGGATTTTGCAGGAAAGCTAAGACTTCCCATGCCAGGGAAATTCACTGGCAAGCCAGAGGACTGGGAAGATTGGAGCTGGGATTTCAGGACATATTTGAGCATGTTCCTGCCAGATTCAACAACGATTATGGACCGCATTGAGGCCAACGCAGACACACCCATTGAGGACGCGCATTTGAATGTAGCGGGTAACCAGGATGCCACAGACAGAAGGATTCAGAATTCCCGAAGGCTGCATTATTTGTTAGCAAATTTGTGCAGTGATTCAGCAAGGCTGGTAGTCAGGCAGAACATTGGCTGCAATGGTTATGAAACCTGGAGGAGATTGTATTCCAAATTTGCATTGCCGGACGCAACACGGCACATGAGTTTACTTAGCCAGATTTTGGAATTCAAGTTTCACTCCAATACATTTGAACAAGATTTCAACACCTGGGAGACCATTAAGGCCAGATATGAATCTCAAACCGGCCAAGCCATTCCTGATAGCATTCTGGTGGCTACCCTCTTGAACAAGACAACAGGCCCATTGCAACAGCATTTGAGGCTCAATGCTTCGGCATTGTTGACCTATGAACAAACACGAAACGTGATTGTGCAGTACCACCATTCCAGGCACATTCTTAGGAACATGCCGGGGAATGACAACCAAGGACCAGCACCCATGGACATTGGGGCGCTGAAAGGATTCAAAGGAAAAGGCAAAGGCAAAGGATTCAAAGGATTCAAAGGAGCCAAAGGACCACATTGGTCATACAACAAAGGAGCATTCAGCAAAGGAAAAGGAAAAGGAAAGGATTTCAAAGGCAAAGGCAAAGGAAAGGACCCAAAAGGAAAAGGAAAGGATTCCAAAGGAAAAGGAAAAGGGTCGATTGCAACCTGCTGGATTTGCGGCTCTCGCGGCCACATTTCCAGAACATGTCCGCAGAGAGCTGTGAGCGGAGTGATTGAGGAAGATTGGAATGAAGAATGGTCCGAAGAGCCCTGGCCTGATTCGTCGTGGCCTGATGGCTCATGGGACATTGCTGGATTGAGTTGGGATGAAGGAGAAGATTGGTCCTGGGATTCGTCTTGGGGATCATGGGATTCTGTGAACTCTTGGGACCACCCTTGGGATTGGTTTCAGGACAGTCAGATTCCAGAGCCTCCTGCTGGATGCGATTCTGCCGCGTTTTCATCGGCAGGACCACCCCCAGCAGGAGATTCACAGCAAGGAACCATTGGAGCAGTGACACAGGTGCCGCCGGGATTGAGTCCAAACATTGGCTCAACTCCCATTCGGCCAAAGGCCAAGCCAAAGGCCTCATCATTTTTGATTGCTGCACTTGTCATGAATTCGGTCACCTCAGGATCATCCTTTCAGATTCCTGCCACTCGTGGCAGTCCGTCTGAGGGTGAAGGTGAAAGTTGGATGACATTTGGAGAGCATGAAAGATTGTTTAAGTCGATGTATTGCTTGGACACTGGATTGGATAGCATGCCATGTTTGAGTGCCGGATTGATTGCCCCTGTTCCCGGACAAGACTTGTTAGATTGGTATGATGAACCAACCCCAGTGAAGGATTCTTTTCATTTCGTGACCACCTTGAAGGACTGCGGCTTGGATCACTTGAATTCGAAGTTTGTTGACACATTCTTGCATGAACAGTTGATTTCAGCAGTCGAGGATTCCACCCCGTGGATTCTATTTGATTCAGGAGCATCTGCCCATTGCTGTCCGCCAGACTTTGGTGAACAATGGCCATTGCTTCCATTAAATGGAAATGGCCCACCATTGAAGAGTGTCACAGGACAGCCATTGAACATGTATGGGAGAAGATTGGTTGGCTTGAACTTGGATGGACAAGATTGCTTCATGAATTTTTATGTTTGTGACGTGCCTTATCCGATTGTGTCGGTTGCACGATTGCTGCTGCAGGGATTCCGCGTAGCATTGGATGGACCAGACTCATTGGGATTGTTTATGCCCAATGGTAAGGTAGTGAGTATTCACCGAAAAGGCTCACTGCTTTTCCTAGGTCCGAACATTCTTCCATTTGACAAACCCCGATTTGAAGAAGTGTGTCAAGAGTTTCATTCCAAGTTTGGTTCAGATTCTTCAGGGACCATAGCACCCACATTTAAGCCCACCATTTACCACAACGACAGTTGGGAACTTGATCCGCAACGCGCTGTGCTGATTCGACATCACAAGCGCGCAAGGCGTGCGTTATTCACGCCAGGTGGCACCAAGGACAGGCCCATTCCTGTGGAAGATGTGGCGTCCAGACGCACAACTTACGTCCGATTCGAAGATGGACGTGAGGAGACCATCGCCGACAATTGGCGGACGATAGATTCTCCGCAACGGGCGTTGGATCAGTACTGGATGGGAAGGACAGAATTCCCGTTGCAATCCTTGCCGACGGCAAGACGATTGACGGGGAAGCAATCCACAATTGCAAGACCTCCCATTCAGGAAGCGTCAGTGCCAGCAAAGAAACCTCATTTGAAAGCGCAACCGTCTGCTGACATTGGCCAGGATGATTATTCCCGGTCAGTGAAGGAGCTGACGACGGGAGAATTGGAAGAAGCAAAGGAAATTGTGGAACGGCGATTGTGCATGAGTGACCCGGAGACAGGAGGACCATTCGGACATGATGAATGGTACCTCACACCCAAGTTTGACATTAGGATACACCATGAGTGGAGGAATTGTCTGTATGTGCCAGATGAGACCGATTCGGCCGCTCCCTCCAAGGAATTGCTGGGGAACGAGAGGCACACATTGGCTGTGTTCCTCAACGGGAGACTCCAGTGGATTCACGACCACTGGGCTGACCCAGAGGCTGCTGCTACGGAATTTCCTGAGCCATTCAAAGGCGCGACGATTTTTCGTCGGCAGTCTCAGCAATTCTTGGAAGAGAGCAACCCGGACATTCCGGAAATGTCGGCTCAACGGCCAAAGGGATTGTACGTTCCCAAACAGCCGACGGACGATGAGATTCGTGAACATGAGTTGACTCATCTGCCATTCAGATCATGGTGTGAGATTTGCGTCAGGTCGAAGAGCAAGCAAAACCAGAGTCGTGCCATTTCGGTGCGGCAACCTGTGATTCAGGTGGATTACGCCTTTATGGGTGATTCACAAAGTAACACACAGGTGACATTGCTCACGGCCACTGATGTACTGAGTGGAATGGGATTGGCGTGCGTTGTTCCGTCCAAAGGACGCATTGTGTATGCGCAAGCAGAGTTGAGGAAATTCGTGTTGGAGATTGGAAGGACATTTGGGATTGTTCAGTGCGACCCTGAAGCTTCATTAAAAGCCTTGGTCGAGGCAGTCACGGGTGACATTGGTGGATTGTCATACCGTGAAGCTCCCACTGGCTGGAAGCAAGCTCAGGGATCCATTTCCAACATGCAAGCAACATTGTATGCTCAGATTCGTGCTTTGAAGCTTGACATTCAACATAGGTATGGCATGTCGGTTAGCGTGCATTCGCCATTGTTTCCTTGGATTGTTAAGCACTCCATGTGGCTTCTAAACAGGTTTCTTCATCGGTCTGATGGATTCACTCCATTTGAACGACGATGGGGAAAGAAGTATGGAGGTGCATTGTGTCGAATTGCCGAGTCTGTGCAGTTCCGATTGCCTGCGCCTAAGTCTGAGCCATCGTGGCATTCAGGCATTTGGCTTGGACGTGACACCACATCCGACCAGCATTTTGTGGCGGATTCCAATGCTGTGTACAAGGTGCGAGGCATTCGGAGACTTCAGCCGGGATCACAAGTCAAGCGAGATTTGATGCAAGGGTTGCGTGCATTGCCATGGGATCCAAAAGGATCCAAGGTCGAAACGGATTCGTTCATCCTTCCGGGTGATTCTGCTGTGCTCCAGAAAGGTGAACCCCAGCCACCTTTGGGGATTCCACCAACTGACGAGCAAACAGAGGAGCCAGATCACGATGGAACTGGTGAGGATTCGTCAGCCCAGTTGTCCCAAGGATTGACGCGAGGTCATGAGGACATTGACAGGGAACCTGGAGAGCATTCGGAGTCTCCAACCAATAGGCGCAGATTGGCAGAGGCAAGAGGCATTAAGAGAACCAGTGAGCAGGCAGAGATTCCTGAAGCGGATTCTACTGTAAGCTACATTTCTGCCATTCTGCCATGCGAGTTTGGTTGCACATTGGTTGAAGATTGTAGGATTGCCACAGTCACCACGCGTGAGTCATTGGACTTGCCCATTCATGTAAACCAGGATGAAGAAGAATTAGGGAACATGAAGAAATTTGCCAATCCGATTCTGTGGGGAGAGTCTGAATTCCCCAGAGATTTGGAAGAGGCAGGAATGAACAAGGAAATGAATTCCATGAAGGACTTTGATTCGTATGTAGAAGAGAAAACCGAGGATTTGACGCAGGAAGAAGTTGATTCAGCAATTTCAATGAAGTGGGTTAAGTCTTGGAAAGGAGCAGAAGTGAAGTGTAGATTGGTAGCCCGTGGCTTTGACCAATACATTGAAGATAAGGATGACACATTCGCTTCTACCCCAAGCTTGTCCACATTGAAGTTGTTGATTGCGTTGTCCATTGCCATGAATTTGGATGTTGTGATTGCAGACGTGTCCACCGCATTCTTGCATGCGACGTTGTGGCAGAAGATTTTTGTCATTCCTCCAAAGGAGTACTACCCTCAAGGGGGCGTACTTTGGCGATTGAAGAAGGCATTGTATGGCCTGAAAGGTTCGCCAAAGGCATGGCAACAGCATTTAGCCAAGACCATGCTTGACGCGGGATTTGAGCGTTTGAAGTCAGATCCGAATTTGTACCGACACAAGACCAAGAAATTGTGGGCATTGGTCTATGTCGATGATTTGATGTTTGTAGGTGAGCGACGTGACATTGATGAGGTGATGCAAGATTTGAAGAAGGTGCTTCTGATTCGGCAGACAGGTGAATTGAGTGAAGGTAAGACAGTCTCCTTCTTGGGACGTCAGATTCGCCGAACATCAGATTCCATGGAATTGTTCATGTCTCCTGATTACATTGACCGCATGCTGGATTCCTATGGCATGACCAAGAGCAAGCCGGCTCAGACGCCAGGAGGAGATTCATTGCGGAAGTTGCTTGACAACGAATTGTTGAATTCGCAAGAGCATAAATTGTATAGGAGATTGGTTGGACAATTGTTGTGGCTTGCAGCATTGCGTGTTGACATCATGTATGCTGTTAAGGAGTTGTCACGAGGATTGGTTGCTCCCACTGAGGTGCACAAGATTAAGTTGAAGACATTGTTGAGGTACCTGAGTGGAACCAAGGATTATGTCCATGTTATGAGACCTGATTTCCGGATTGGAAGACAGGTGAAATCATTGGACATAAAGGTCTATGTGGACAGCGATTGGGCAGGTTGCACCGATTCCAGGAGGTCCACATCAGGAGTAGCATTGAACATTCTCGGCATCAACATTTCAGCACACAGCAGAACACAGGCCACCATTGCCTTGTCAAGTGGGGAAGCCGAACTTTATGCTATTGGAAGTGGTGCGGCCGAGGCCCTATTCATTAAATCTTTGATTCTGGAAACCCTTGTGGCTCCCAAGGTGAACATCATTCTGTTTACCGATTCAACTGCAGGCAAGAGCATGGCTGTCAGATTTGGGGCATCCCGGAAAACCAAACATGTCCAATTGCGATTTCTGTTTGTCCAGGAGCTGGTTTCCTCTGGGACCCTGGTGATTAAGAAGATTCCGGGAACCCTCAACCCATCTGACATTTTAACCAAGTATGTTGCCAAGGCAATTTTGCAGAGGCATAACATCACATTAGGGATTTGCCCTTCAGGTAGTAGATAGTCAACATGATTCTGTTTCACTTAGTCAGTAGTCAAGACATTTTGCCACGAGTGAATTCGAAGCCATTTCATGCATGACTGCAACATTTGTTTTGCTCAACATTCTGACTGACATTTCGGTGGGCATTTACTTCGACCGATGCGATGGACAGCCCGCATTCCGGAATTTGACGCGACAGTATTTCCACCGGATTCTCGCAAGAGATTTGAAGATGGAGCGCACGAATTTTTCGGAATACAAGGCATTCATTACGGCCACGATGTTGTGGCAGATTCTATTCAGCGGCCAGCAACAGGAACAATTTGGGTTCCAGGATTTTATTTTCATGAACCGATTCGCGGACGATGCCTGGAGTGCGCAGATTCTGATCAGGATCATTCCAAACATTGCGGCTGGGAGTATGTCCTATACTCCATTTGAGAGGCATTTGTGGCTACAATTCCCACCAAGGGTGGAGAGATTGATTCCATTCAACCCCAATTGGAATTTGCAACATTTGAACTTTTGCATGTTGCCATTCATGCTGTATTTCACCATGCCTTCAGCAATGTGGAACCATTTGAAGAGGATTTTTGAGGGCCGTGCCAGTAACATTCCTGAGGCTATGAAGGGAACATTTGCAATTCTTGCTTCACATTGTTTCTGGAACAGTCAGTTTACTGGATTCCATTTGAGCCCGCGTTCGTCTTTGCTATTCTTTCTGTATTCATTCAGCTATGAGCGATCATTTGCACCAGAGGGTGATGCAAAGAACAGATTGATTCAGTATTTGGCGGACGCACCAGTGGTGATTGGATTCAGGCCACATTCGCAGCGATTTCTTGATTTCATGAGGCATTCATTTACTCACGTATTTGTGAGGTCTCACATTGACCCCATCATTCACTTCAAGGATTACATTTGGGATTCAAGAGACAGCTTGGCGATGCAGGAGATTTGCTCCATGGCCGGATTCAATATCAAGGCCCAGATTGGGGAATTGATGCTCGCTGCCAATTCATTGCAGCAAAGCAATTCCCATTGGTACCGGGATTACCACATGTTCATTCCCAAGACCTGGAAGACTTCATTGGACAAATTCATGGGCGACTACCAGGAGATTCCCAAGTCACTGGTAGATTCATATTACAGAGCGAAGCTGTGATTCAGCATTGGTGGAGCTGGGATTTCGATTCTGGCCAGGCACCGATTTGGATGCATTTATTCCACACTGGATTTGCATTGAGATTCTATGTTCATTGGATATCGCGATTTTGCCTGGTTCGATTTGCCACTTCATTTGTGATTCAGTTTTCGGCATTTGTGTGGAGGTACAGTTACAACATTACTGTAGATGACAGTTTACTTTTGGTTTGGATTCATCTATGACACCAATACATTGAGAGGACGTTTTCTGGTGATTCTGGAGGCGATACTCTTGGAACACATTCTGTCTGTGATTCGAGTCCACAATACATTCAACCACTTGTCCTTGTGCATTTCCCAGCATTGCAATTCTTTTGGTGATGATTAGGTCACCCGTTTTGCATAGACATTTTGCAGAGAGAAAAGATTTCAAGGCAGCTTGGCATTCTTTGGAATGCATTTGTGCTAGTGGAGTGTGGATTAATTCCACATTTTCCATTAATCCAAGGGGGCGTGCGAAAGTACACCATGCATTCCCACTTGGATGTAATTCATACTGATTACCATTGCATGGCTCAAGATGACAAAGGTGCATTTGCTGCCTTGGTTGATTAGCAGAGATTAGTCTCTGATTTTCCCAGGTTGGGCTTTTTCAGTGTGCGCGTTTCTCGGGCGCTGATTGCTTCCTGGTGCGTTCCTTTCGGTCCGCGGCTGACTTGGCAGGTTTGCCGCTCGACGTCGGTGAACAAGGGTAGATTCCTTCGGATCGCCCCTTGGCCGACATGCGATCCCGGGGGGGCATTTGACCCCAGGTGTGTCAGACCCACAGGTTGTTGTGGATTGCGACCCAAGCCGAACCTCATGAGTTCATCTCGGCATTTGCCATCCCGGCCGGAGAAAACTGATGACAGGCTGCTAGAAGTCAATTTCACCTAGCAGATAAAGTTCTTGAAGGCGTCAAAGACCAACCCAACACCCGAGTGTATGTTTTGAAGCCGCAAGTTGATCTTGCTTGCTTTTCCAAGCGCCCCGAAACCTGCGTTTTAGCTAAAGATAATTGCTGGACATACAGAAATGCTTCCTTGAAAGCTATGAAATTCAATCATGGGCAGGTCCAAATCAGACAGCGCCTTTTAGCTAGTTTCGTTTTGGAGCTGTGCCAGACCTGGATAGCTGGGTTGGTTTTAGGTCCCATTTTTTTTGGCAAAATGACGCCAGGATTGCAAAATGGCCTTCAAATTTGGACAATCCCCCCTCCGGCTTTTAATACCCATGTACCTCTGGCAGGCATGTATGAAAAAAGTCAAGCCCTATATTATATATAACTTATATAACCCATGCATTTTCTGCAATGCCTTTAGAACCCGGTCCCGGGTGAACCCCCCGATTGGTTGCCTGTCAAGCGCCAATGCAGCGTGCTCTCGATAGAGTCATTCCTCCAAGCCCGGCGACGACTCGCAGCTTGCACTATGAACCCAACAACCTCCCCTGCGGCCCTTTGCCAGTTTTTTTTTTTGCCGACTTGATAATATGAACAAATGCGTATAACAAATGAGTAGAACAGAAAACGACCCCCCCCCTCCCAAAGAGCTGTAAATCGGATATTTGGACATTGCGTGCCTCAGGCGGCATCCCCCAGGGATGGCCAGTTTTTTTTTTTTGAAAACCAGCCACTTGCTTTCTGTGCGAAAGCGCCTATCAATGCATCCCTATCTTCTTTTGCTTTCCCCTATGACCCCCACGAATCCAACACAATCTTGGAGGCTCAGTCCGGCCTTTGGGCAAGAACCCCGGAAGTCACAGACACTGTATGACAGATGAGGTGCGACGCGACATGCTGCTTGCGAGACTCCTTTGCCTTGCGGTAGGGACTAAACAGTTGGAATTGGGTTGTGGAGTGCTTTGCAACCAAGTTAAGTCATGATCATAGAAGCAACATCTTAGTAGTTTTTTGTTTCATATTGTGTCTCATCTTGGGGATTCTTTGCCGCGCCCAGCTTCTCTGTCAAATCGAATGGCCCAAGGGTGAGATTTTTGAGGCTCGGTGCCCTTTTCTCCTGGGTTTAAAGGGAAGAAAGGTGAACATCACAATTTTTTGGTCCCCCCTTTGACACGAACCCATCAACATCACCTTCGGTTTTCTCAACCCGTGCCAAGCTGTTGAGCGCTCTGAGGTCTTCGATCTAGCCGCCTCGTCGTCGACAGCAGTGCCGGGCACCCAAATTTGCACAGCCAGAAGCTCCCAAAAGGTAGCTGGCAATAGACCCCTACAGACGCGCGCGCGCACAACAATTCCAAGGGTCCTTGATCCCAAGCATATTCTGGTTTTGCCGCATTTTCTTGAAGCTCCAGCCCTTGTGGTTGCTTGCCTTTTGCAAAAGTCTTCCGTCGATTTCGATTTTGCTCTCTCTTTTTTTCGGCCTTTGGGCCGACAGTCTCTAGGTAAGAGCCGTGTTGCTTTGTTTTCTCCTTGGTGTTGGGAGATGAAGACGGTATGTGTCCGCATTCCAAACTCCAAGGAAACGCCTAGCATGGCAGCTTAGATTTCGCCTTTCCCCGCAATCCTTTTGGTACTGCGCTTCATTCCGGACACGAAGAACAGGACCCCAACAACTTGCTGATTCTCAGGGAATGAGGGAATGACCCCCTAGCATTGTCTATGTTTTCCTTTGAATAACATCCCTCGTTTCATTCAACCAACACCGGGAACGGTCCATTCCCTACCTTTTTTTTGCTGGTGCTCAGTTAATGAGGGAATGAACCCAGGAATTCCAGTTGGATGGTTTATAAGGCTCATTCCTTCATTCCCAGCAGGCTATCGCACCAGCAAGCTAGCGCCGTTTTTTTTCTTCAGGTCCTACGAGTGCGCCTCCAGCCTGGTGACCTTGTCCTCGTCGCCGGTGGCCATCCATCAGGCTGCGCAGGCGGGAGACAAAGGGAGGAGAGTAGGGGTCAGGGAGCCGGGGTGGGAACACTTAATATTATTATTATTATTATCATCTTTTATTATTATCTTTTATTTTTATCAGTACTTATCATTATTAATATTTGTTTGTGTTTATTATTTGTCTGTTTGTTTGTTTGTTTGTTTGTTTGCTTGCTTGCTTGCTTGCTTGCTTTCTTGCTTGTTTGGGTGTCTGTTGTTTGTTTGTTTGTTTGTTTGTTTGTTTGTTTGCTTGCTTGCTTGCTTGCTTGCTTGCTTGCTTTTATGTGTTCATTGATTATTAATTTATTTTCATTCATTTATTTATTTATTTATTTATTTATTTCCTTATTTATTCATTTATTTCTTTGTTTGCTTATTTATCGAACCTTTATTATTATTATTGCGTTCATAATCATATATTACTGTAGGATACCGCAATATTTCCGAAACCCCAAGGCCATTTTTACGTAGGTTTAGAGGGCCTTTACGAACCACAACGTTAAATATGAATTTGTAATGAATACAACGGTAAATATGACCCTACGACCAAAGGGACAGGCGCAGTGTGACTTGGATTTGAACGGGCTCCTTCCATTTGGATCCCAATCGGTTGAAACCAGACGAAACCACTTCAAGTCTACTCAGCGAGAACCACAGGAAGCCGACGACAGGATCTAAGATGACCTGGCTGTGGGCCTGTGCTCAAAGCATACCTCACAGTTGATCTCTGTCATCCATTTGTTACCTTCTGGTTATTTTCCCTTCCCGAGAAAATCATGGGTCTTCACCAGTAGACTTCTAGGATGTGGACCAGACGGCAAACAGATGAGTGAATGGGATGAACCGGAGAGACCATCTATGCACATACACCTGGCAAGCCAAGGACTGAGCTGCTAAGCTGGTGCGCTAGAAGCGGGGCCATCTGGTTGGCTCTTGGTTTCAGGGTCGTGCCCCCGTTTTTCCTGTCATCCCCTTTGGCGTGGTCAAGGCACATTCCACAGTGTATCTTCTTTGGAGCGAAGCCTTGTTCTGGGCTTTGGAGGGAGTTTCAAGGGCTGAACAGAATTCCACTGAAAACCGACGCCCATTTCGGGGAACACCTCAATGTTTGGGCGGCTCCAGACTTCATTTTGAGGGAATGCCGAGGGAAACCAAAGGTCCATTCTTGAGATCCAAGGGGAATTCCAGGGACACCGTGGGCCCATTTTGGCGGCTGCGTATCCCAACATTGCGAGGCCTATGTCCAGCTACTCACGGAGCAGTCTGACAACAACGTGAAGCCGCTGGGACGGTTCTTCCCGCGGGCAAAGGGACGTTTTTTCGGAGCGAGTGCAGAGGACGACCACTTTTGTGGGTCTGGTAGTGCAAGGAGGAGCATTTCGCGTGTGGTTTGAAATAGACACTTGAATCATCCTTGGCTTGGACAGTGTATGATGGAAACGAAGACAACACATCGTTCTTTTTAGCAACCATGTGGAGCCAACATGAAATTATACATACAATATATATATATATATATATATGTTCCAGGCCGTGGACCCCCCCCCCCTCCCCCCCCCAACCCCCCCCCCCTGTGGGGGTGGGGTGGGTGGGTGGTGGGGTGGTGGTGGGGTTGTGGGGTGGTGGTTGGGTGGTTGGGTGGTTGGGCCAACCCCCCCCCCCTGTGGGGGGTGGGGTGGGTGGTGGGGTGGTGGGGTGGTGGGGTGGTGGGGTGGTGGGGTGGTGGGGTGGGTGGTTGGGTGGTTGGGTGGTTGGGTGGTTGGGTGGTTGGGTGGTTGGGTGGTTGGGTGGTTGGGTGGTTGGGTGGTTGGGGGTGTGGTTCGGAGTTGGTTTAGGCTTGGTGGGTTGGTTTAGGGTTGGTTCAGGGTTGGTTCAGGGTTGGTTTGCGGTGGGTTTCGGGTGGGTTTGGGTTTTGGGTTGATTTAGGCTTAGGGTTGGGGTTAAGGAGGGGTTGCAGGGTGGTTTGGTTTAGGGTAGGATGTTGCGAGAGGTGCGGGGGTGTTGGTTCACGGGGTGAAAGGGGGTCTGGGACCGAAGCTGCAGGGCTCGCACGGTACTGGACAGCATCCCCAGCATTGCCAGCATCATCCCCAAGATGCGGATGATGCGGGGGAATGGGGGGACCATACCATTGGGGGGGGGGGGGTACGTGGCCCAGGGACTGGTACATATATATATATATATATAGATAGATAGATAGATAGATAGATAGATAGATAGATAGAATGTATCTTCTGTGTTGCAACTGGCAGAGGGTCGCCGGCTCCACGAATTCCCAAGTGCGACGAACCAAGATTGGTGGGTTGGTTGTGGACGGGTAACCTCCCTAGATACCCGGGCTCAGTTGTCCCCTGGAAGCGCATGAGCTTCATGTATGCCTGGCGGACAGCAGAGATTTGTTGGGTTAATTGAGGCTTGAACTTGGGCCGATGTTGATGCTTGGCCTGGTGATGCAAGGGATGTTGACCTCCTTCCGCATCGAGCCACGAGGGAGACACACTCGTGGGTCCACATCCACGCCTAGCTGAAGGAAGCCATTCCGAGGAGAAACCGCTCCTAGGAGGAAACCACTAGGAACAGGTCTGGACCCACAAGACTGCTTTGGGTGAGGCTCATCGTCTTGGACCGCTTGCGGGACGTGCAGAAACACCACAAGCAGGCGCCACGCGCCAGCCCGGGCGGAAGAAATCGGACCCTTGGAATCGGGCTAAGCTTTCACTTTGACGACACGAAAACGCCCCAAGGCCTGATGCAGGCCGATCTGTTGGCCATGGTGCGAATGTGGCCTTCCTCGTAAGGGTCAACTTCTTTTCAAAGCTCGCAGTGCAGTTCACAGTGACAGGTGTTCTGGAGTTATCTTCACGGAAACCAGACAAATTGACTGGAGACCAAGGGCTGGCTTGCAGAAAAGGGTAAGCTGCGCAGCTGTTGGCCTTGCGCAAATCTGCCCTTTGGGCAGCTCTGTTTTGAAGGCTCTGATTTTGACGGCGGCCACTTCACAGTACTTTCTCCGCCAAACCAAGAGGAAGCTGCAAGTTTGGGAGTAAGGTTCAGGACGGACGGATATGTGTTCCTGTCAAGATCAGTAGACCCCGAGAATGGCGGCTTTCCTTTTGGTTTCCGTTGGATCGAGTTGACAGGGTCCTCTCACATCGAAGGCCGGCTCACCGTCTGCTTTCCCTTTTTGTATTGCCCTGCCCGCGCTGGGGCACCTGACAGGGCTACGTGAAGAGTTGTTTTTTCCCTTTTTGCATGTGAGCCACAATCAAGACCGATTCGGGTAGATGAAGGTTAGGGGCAATCCCAAACATAAATGGTTGTGGATGTCCGCCTTCTTACTCCTTTATATGGCTTTGGGCAGATCGTTTCAATACGGGGTTTTGACTCAGGTGCCCTTTGGCTGCTATGTTGGGGGTAAGGGTCCCTGAAACTGGCTGCATGTCAAGGCTCTGCTGGTTTGCCTTGAAACTCGAAAACATCATTTTGAGGGTAAGCATTTAGGATGTCACTTGGACCTGGAATCTCCATGACCGGAGAATCATCATCGGATATGGGGGGCAATCTCCACATCATAACCGGACCAACTCGGGTTATTTCCGGCCGATGGTTGGGGGCAATTTCCTTTGTAAAGGTCATGGAGGGCATGGTCATGGACATCTTCCGCGCCCTCACTTGCCCTTCTCTGGATGTGCGGAAGAAGGCCGACCCGTCGGTTTGAGAGATTTTTCTCGGGGCTGGTGCGAGACGCGGAAAGTGGATCTTGACAATGGGAGCCGCAAAGAAGTTGGTTTGTTGGTCGGTGTGCTGGAAATTGGTAGCCCAGGAGAATCCTGTAGCATGGGTGGGGGGGAATTCCATGTTGGTTCACGTGAATCCGTTCTCGGCAGGTTCGTCCGAAAAATAAGAGAGCAACACGCAACATGTGGGCGTCTCAAAGCACATGGGACACAGGGCAACCCCAGTTCCCCACGCAACAATGAGTGATTGTCTGGTGGGTGTCAAACAAATCATAGCCCTCCATTCGGTTTTTCCCTCGCAAACAATCCCCAACCGGCTTTGACACCGACCTGCGCTGGTGGGGTTGTCTCGTTTTGAGGTGCGGTTGCTTAGGGTGACAAAGGGAAACCACCAAGGTTCCATTAAGAGACAAACACAGGCGGACCCACAGCAACCTTGGGGAGTCGACCAAATTTTGATTGGCAGTCGCGCGGTGGTTTGGGGAGGGCACCGTCAAAAGGGGGGCAACCCCAACTTCCCATGTCCCCCTAGGGAACATATTTGATTGCGGGGGAACAACCAGCAAAGGGCTACTGTGAAAATCACCATCGTGGCTTGCAAAAGGAGTTCTGACCACGGCAGGTGTGAGGTTCAACAGTCACTTGTAGCAACTCTACTCGGCGGATTTCCAGCTTGGTTTCTTCTGTGGTTCTTGGTGGCATCAGGAGAACCAGCAACATTGGGGCTCCATGGACCGGGGAATGGGTATTCGCCATGCGCCCATTTGCATTTGTTCGTAAAGCTTGTTCTGGTTTGACCACACGCACAATCAGCATTCTAACTGTACAGTAAGGACGTGCTTGTGTGTTTTGTGCATGTGACCCTTTGAATAGTCGGTGTCATGTTGGTTCGCACCCATCCTGCCCTTGGGGCAACCCGCCAGCCACGTGCTGAACCGCGCAAACCGCGGCCGCGAGGCTCACAGAAGACGTTAAACGTCCGTGGGAACCAGCAACACCTGGTAGCTGTTTGCAGCTTTACAACCGCCGTTTTCGTTTTTTGCCGGTTTGTGGGTGGAAGCCATCTTGGATTGAAGCTTTTAGGAGCTTTTGCAGCCTACCCGAAGTTTCGTAAGCCTGCTGCGCCCAAACGCCCACCAAAAAGAGCGGACGTGCCCTCCAAGGACCACTTACCACACACACACAAGCATCCCGTTGGGTTTTGGCCAGGACAAGTGTCCGAACACCCGGCACCCAGTCCTCTTCCTCACCAGAAAGGACCGGAGGCAACTCCCTGGGTTTCGGAAAGGCAACACCGCCACGCACCGTTTCACGGATTCCGCTTCTCGCTCTTCTCCGTTTCGTCCATGGCGGTGCGCGTGAGTGCGCCGGGGCGGCAGCTATCCCTGCCGAAGTCCGTGGCGGCGCTGGGGGTCCAGGCGTGGAACAAGCAGGCAGGGGCGGTGTGCTGGAGCCCGGCTCGGTGGGGGCGGCTTTTGGGCTGAGGCATGGACTCAACCCTGTGGTTCCTTGCTGGTTGCGTTTTGACCCGGTCAAAACCCAGGAAACCCCAAAATGTGAACATCCAAACAGGTGGCAAATGGATGTTCATCCACCTGAATGGGATCGCCATAGGTTATGCAACCCATGGCCATATTGAGCCCGGTTTTGCAGATAGCCAGGGGGGATGCTTGCGGTCCTTCATGGTCCTCAATCACCCAGAACGGTCACTAATATTTATTTGGCCATGGGTCAAAATCCCGCAGTGAACATCTCAATCCCCACTAAAATAGGTTCTAAAATGAGTGGTGCACCCACCCCAAAATGGGATCCCAAAACGGTTTTGACCACCACAGCTTTTGGTGTTTCCATGCCTTCCCTTGCTCTGAATCCGAGGATTCCATCTCAATGGCTCGGGTTGCGCGTGCCGAAGGGCCTAGCCAAAAACTGCCAACAATCCTTTCAGATGGTTTGGGCAATAGTTCTTTTGGGGCCAAAAACAGCCAGTTTTTTGTTTTTGTTTTTTTTTGCGCGGTCGAAGCGAACAAGCACCTCCCAGGCGATTTTTGCGGGAGGAAAGAAGCGGCCATGGGGAATCCCTCGTTTGGGTGCGCCCATGTAGATCTGTCTCAAGCTGGGGTGGCCCCCCTTTTTGGATCGTTTGAGCAAACCGAATCCAAACCGGGTCCACCCCATTCCTTGTGCCATTTACATTGGATTCCATTCGGCTCTCATGCAGGCTCAGCTGGCGCAAATGCTGAAGACGCTGGATGCCTCCTGCAAGGCTAAACAAGGGGGCGGTGCAGGAAACAGCCTAGATCAGCGGTTTTGCGCCTTCCACCCGTTGTTCCTTCTTTCAGCCTTTGGCAGGTTTCCCTTCAAAACCGACCAATGCGCCATTTCTGATTGCTGTTGGCAAGTGGCATGCTCAGAGTGCCAAAGGAGTTCTGCAGTTCTGAGTCTTGTAGCATGTGCTGCTTTCTTGTACGCCTGACCCCCATTTGCGGAAGCTGTTAGACACACGGTTGATCGGGAACGCCAAGAACTTGCTCTGAAGGCTAGGTCGTGCGTTGGCTTGGCTGTTGGGCGTAGGATGTTTCACAGGGTGGGAGAGCGCTTGGGAAGCTGAATTCCCTACTTAGCACAATTGTCTGCTGCATGATGGAGTGTCATGGCTGCGCTGAAAATCGATCCCGTGATGTGTGAGGCCCCTATCCCACAAGCGAGCATGTGCCACATGGCGACGCGCCGGGAAAGCAACAAAGATTTTGGCCCAAAACGAAGCTGACCACGAATCATGCTACGTATAACAAGCGAGAGGTTCGGTGTTCCTCGCCGCGAAAGCAGCCAACAAAAAAGCCCATGAATTCCTCATTTCCCCTCACCCAAAGTCCCCAGAGAATGTTTCTTCATTTGCTCAGAACCCCGCCGCCCCCCAAGGCGCACCCTTCCCCCCTTAAGGCAAAAAACACGTGGCAGGCGAGGACGGTGAGCGAGGTGATGCAGGAGGTCCGTGGTTTCTTCACACTAGGCCACCTGCTCTACGCCTACGCGTACCTGCGGATGCTTCATTACAAGGAACCGGATCCAGTGTTTGTGTCTTTTTCCTTCGGCCCTGACGTGCTTCTTTTTCTTCCGCGTTTGGGGACTCTGGCAGGTCCCTTGCTCGGGACATACTTGAACGTCTTGGAGTCTTTGGGGGTCTTTTAGGATGAAGCGGGTTCGGGGTGAGAGTCGGTTGTGAAGGAATATCGCCATGGGTCATGACCTATGCCTCCATTTTAGGGCGGCTGAACACCCATGTGCCACCCAGTTTGATGTTCACCAGAGGTACGGATGGGATTTTGACCCACAGCCATATGTACCCTCTTTGGGACAGCTTCAGACGGAAGTAACCCGATTCAACGCGTCGCTTCGTGAATGGTTTTCTCGGCTCCAGGATCCGAACCTCTACTATGCGTCGCTCTGGCACGATCCGGCATTCCTTCTTCCGATCGTGTACACACCCACAGTCGGTGAAGCTTGTCAAAAGCCTCTTGGCGTCCCTTATGGCATGCCTCGGCTCCAAAAGGCGTTTCTGGGCATCCCTGGATTTGCGGAGTTTAGCACCGCCAAGCATGTTTGGTTTCAAAGTCGGGACCCATATCCAGTGCCCTCTTGTTGTGCTTGAATTGATGCATGCCAGATTGATCCCTCGATTGGCGTGCTGCAAGGCTCTGGAGAAGAAAACTAACAAACAAGCAAGCGAGCAAGCTAAAGGAAGCAAGCAAGCAAGCAAGCAAGCAAGCAAGCAAGCAAGCAAGCAAGCAAGCAAGCAAGCAAGCAAGCAAGCAAGCAAGCAAGCAAGCAAGCTAGCTAGCTAGCTAGCTAGCTAGCTATCTAGCTAGCAAACTAGCAAACTAGCAAACAAGCACGCAAAGGCACAAAACACATGAAATACACAAAGCAAGCCAAAGAAAAGAAAGCTCTTTGAACCCCACAGCACAAGGCCCTGGTTGCCAAGAGTGCCGAAGGTCCAAGGGAGATCTTCTGAGGCCCTGGGCTCGAGGGCTCGACCATGCGATTGGCAAAAGTTCTCAGGGTCGTAGCCCAAAGCCATGGGTCAACAGGTCAAAATCCCGTATTTTCAGTGAACATCCGATTCAATCCAACCACTAAAATAGGTTTTCTAAAATGAGCGGTGAATTCACCCAATCCAACCAAAATGGGATCCCAAAACGGTTTTGACCCACAGCCTAATAATGGGGCAACCACGACTTGAAGCACGTGTCAGGTATGAGCCAAGATCTCACATCGGTTTCCGAGACGCGCACGGACAAACTCCGCTGAGGTTTGGCATGCTGCCGTTCTTCCCGCGGGGATGCTATATCTCCATCGGCGACTGCGGGAGGATAAAGCAGGTGCTGCGGGAATACGCCGAAGCCATGCTTTCCAAGGACCTTTTGTTGCAGGTTGTTTAAAGGGAAACTCAACGGACAACCGCTATTCGACACATGCCCAACGGCCCCTCAAACGGAAGATGACCGGAAGCTTTGGAAGACCACAGTCTACAAGGACCCCTTTGCTTCCATTTCCGTGGGGATTTCGGATGTCTCTTCCAAGGGCTGATCCCTGAACTGCATCTGTTTTGGGGGGCTCTCTCCCCCTTTTCCTGTGCCGAAGGGTCGAGTCAAGCGCCTGGGCTCAAGCTGACCCCCATGAGTTCCTGGCTCCAGTTTGCGTGTTGGCGCCACTCAAGTGCGACACACAGGCACGCCTGAAAAAGTTGCAGGACAGTGCCGGCAACTACGAGTGCCAGTGCATCGTCTTTTCGGATGCCGGGCGGATCCTGGGCTTGGGGGACCTGGGGTGCTGGGGCATGGGGATCCCCATCGGCAAGCTGGACCTCTACACCGCACCTCGGCGCTCTCTCGGGTTCCTGATGGGCACGGAGGGGGGCGGGTCGGTCTATTTGGGTGTGCGTGATTTGTTGAGGGAACCCTTT